TCTCACTAGCACATTTTACAGCAAGGTCATTCCTTCCTAGGAGTCAGGCTCTTTACTTCACCTTAGTTCTACACTCATGGTCCAAAGCAAGCAGTCTTCAAGCCCCTCTTCCTCTCTACTTCTTGCCCTTCTGGTAGGAACAATGACTCTTATTTTTCTAAGGCATGCTGCTTCCAAGTCATGTTAATATCAGTTTAAAGTGGATGAAGCATAGCATAGTTCTCTCCACACCCTGTAAGGAATGGCTTCCACCTGCCCAAAGACAGCTGTATCCATAGAAAGTATCAAACAGTCATAAAAATTCTTCTCATTTTTTTGTGCATTGTTATTTGGCAAATACTTGGACATGGTGAAAGACCTCATAGTACAGTAAAGCCTGCAGAGTATCATTATTGGGGGGGGGCGGGGAGGGGAAACCACATTAATTTTATGAAAGGAGGCCTTCTCAGGACTTTCCCTTGAAGGTACCTGAAGTACAGCTCAGCATCACAAGACTCTGCACACTCAGATTGTGAGAAAAAAGGTGGCAGTGGGCTAACAGACACACAATCTGTCCTTTTCCAGTAACCCCTAAAAGCACACTGGAATCCCAGGACGTCTTCAGGGAGGCTGAGGCAAAGAGATGGTAATGCAGTGCACTTAGAACACCAGGTCTGCATTTGAACTATTTGTACTGATCCAAAAAGGATAAAGGTCATAGCAACTAATGGTTAGGCTCCAAGAGACATTATAACTACAAAATAACCAGATCAACCCTGAGTTAAATGGCAAGCTCAGACTTCTCAAGCTACTTGCTCTTATTGTTTATGTAACCAATGTTCAAAATGTCACCTGTACTATACAAGGTGCCCGGTAGTGACAAACCATCTTCAGTGGCTGGGTATAAAGTCTTGTTAGAGCCATAGAGGAAGCTCGTTTGAAGAAATAACAAACGGAATAAGCAAGATACCTTTTCAGAATCATGGCCATCTGCCAATTTAAGCCACTTAGAGATTAAAAGAAATAGTCACTTGACCAGATTCTAGAGGTCACCACTGCCCCAAGAAGAGTGGTGATGAACTGTGGCATTAACTGAGGATCTGTCTGAACCAAAGGCAAAAATGAAATTAACGCCCCCCCCACCCCAAACCCACAGCATGATCCATTGAGAATAACAAGGAACTCACTATCCCTCAAACCTATCACTCAGTAAGACATGTTCAGATACAGAAGGTACAGTACTGAAGTCACATCAACAGATCCAAGGCACTGACGCAGCTTATTACTAGTGCAGTTCCAAGTAGCACAGCTCACTTTGACACAACCAGCACCTTCGGGTATGATTTTCACAGGTGATACTATTGTCCTAGCATGTTATTCACACCTAGAAACTAAAAGAATTACTCGTGGCTGAGCATAGATACACAGTAAAATTACCAGAGTGAAGCACTGAAAAAGAAGTCAGTCTGTGCCTGTTCAGTCAATGGAACAAGACAAATTGCTTCAGAAGAAGCTAAGACCTAGTTTTATCTCCAAATTAAGAGTCCTTACATTGCTGCAACTGTATTTCACTGCAAGTTAATTCTTACACCACATATCAGGGAGTGTCATTCAAGAATGGGTTTTGGAATTCAGAATTGCCAAGCAGAACAGAGCGTTTTTCTTTACTCTCCCCCTTGGATAGCGCAACTGATTCCATGTTTTGAGCAGGTACACTTGTCTCATCCTTTTGCCAAGCATATGTATGGATACCACCTTCATTAGAAAGAAACCAGAATACATGTGCAAATTCATGTCCTCATATATAAGAACTTTTATGGTTATAAAAGTTGGTGTGAGATGACAGTATCAAGGCAAACATTCCTCCCATCTAAATGTAGGTTCTTGTACTTGTCTTCAGCTGCTGTGATAAATTTGGCAGCATAAATTCACACCTGAATATCTATCATTTATATGAAAAATTCTATTGCAATCAAGACAGGACATCAGCACCTTGCTTTCCATTTAAAAAAAAAATTGGCTTTAAGGACTGCAATTGTCAAAGATTAACTAAAAGCACCATTGTGTAGGTAAGAAGCCGAGAAATCTGGCAAAATTAAACTGAACTGACAACAGCCGACTGGTAAGAATCGCAAACACAGAACTTTAAGACCTTTTTGGCACATGGCAATTCATGGCCATGTCCTAATAATTTCTAAACCAACAACCAGTTCCACAGTCACTAATGCCAGCGCAGACACACACTATGCAAGAACAGCCAACAGTCAGCCAAACCAGCTCTAAGCAGTCAGCGTAGGCTAAAGCCAGTCCAAGTGTTTGTCTCTATTATCACATCCCTAGGTTTGTTTGAATTCCACAGATGCAATACAAAGGTTATATTTAGTGACTAATGTAGTTTGACACAGAGAAGCTTAAGAGCCTCTTTTTTTGTAATTGAGTAGGAAGAAACCTGCAGCAGTACAGGCCTGTCATAAAAACTACTGCTACACTCCTTTCCTTCACAAGGCCATTTAAAAAAAAAACATTCAACGTCAACCCTGAGCTTCCTTGTTGTCTCTCCAGGTGAACAGACCCAGAAAAGTGATAAATGAAGAGGCAGGCAAGTCTGTAATTGCTTCTGTTTCAGGGCTATGAAGGTCTGGTGTGCCTGAAAATTTGCCCCTTCCTTTCTCAGGATCAGTCTAATAAAAAATTATTTGTCTACAGAATGTTATCTATCCCCTCCTTCTCATAAGGCCATCAAAGCTTCTGCATCTTCTGAACTTTTATAACAAAACTACTGAATCAAGAAGTTAAGGTCTCTATGAGCATGTTCCAGCAACTAGCTTTTCCTCTTACAAATCCCCTGATCTGCTTAGTGGACTGTAAAAAATCATGTAAAAAAAAATCACAAGGATATAGAAAAAGAAATATTTGAAGAATACTGCTGTTTATCCTGAGGATTTCTAAAGCCTGTTTCAGTGCTGGACAGACAAAAGGTATCAGCCAGTGGAACAATACTGTTTTCTTACATCAGATCACAAAGAAGAAAGATCTGAGCAGCACTGAAGACTTGAGTCCTATTTACTCAATCACAATTGGCAGAATTTCCTTCATATTCAGTTCACCACAGACCCCTTCTCAAACTCAGAAACTGAAATTATGCCTTTATTGAAAAGAGTTTCCATTCCCCAAGCTGTTATTCCACGCATACTAGTTGTCAGCCTTATCGGACATGCCACCTACTATACTGCTGGAAGAACAGTCATGGAAGGGGATCTGTGGCACCAGAATTAAAACTTGTCGGTACATGCTTCACTTTCTTCATGCACAAGCTCAAACAAGACAAACTCAAGGCTTTGGGAACTTCTTTTGCTGATGCAAAGGTCTGCTGGGAATTGCCTAAACCTGCAGCCAGCTTTTACTCCATCTATAAATTACTGCATTACAGAGTAGGAAGGGATTCCAATTCTAGCTGATGCATCATCATATGGGTTATCACATGGTAAGATCTACTTAGACTAAGGGAATCTATGCCATTTTCTGACACAGCAGACTCAGGGTGAGACTGTACAAACATACTGATTTATACATAGCCTCGTTATTCAATACTGATTTTTTCAAGTGTCCAGTCTCATGCCTGCTACCGCAGCTAAAAATAAAACCCATGGAAACATGACTGGCTACTAGTTTGATAACCTGGAAAACTGGAATCAGAGTAATGCATAAAATTAACTTGTAACTCTGCATAAAATTAAGCTGCACTTTAACAAAGTGCACTTTAACAAAGTGCAACTCCCACTGTAATTCTCTAAGTTCCAATCAGTTTTCATATAATAAACAATATACTCTAAATACCCAAGTCCAAATGATGTACTTAGCTACTCTCTTGACCTCCCCCACCCTGATCCTTCCAATTTTGTTCTGGAGCAGATCAGAAACAGTTAAGGGACTAAATTTAGTAATACTTGTTTTGTGTTTTAACTAGCAACACAAGCTGCCTTAAGGATACAGCAGAATATTAACTGAGTTGTATTTTCATTAGAAACAACCAAGAAGGAACATCTTTAGAGTTACCTCAGTTGCCAAAAAGCTCATGAAGTAGCACAAAACACTGAGCATTTCTGAAGTATACAGATAAATACAGGTATCAACAACTTGCCAGCCTTTTTCATCACTTATTCTTTCACAGCAACAAACTACTTCACTAAAAGGAAGCTAGCAGGGAGGGCAGAGGGAAAGATATGGAAAGCCTAATTCCATGTTTAAGGCAAGACAGATTTAGATTTCCATTTAGGGAAAACATGTTTACTGGAGTGCTCTTTCCTCAATTAAAAATGGATGCTTTTCAAATGGTTGTGATGATAAAAAAATGTGCAAGGAACCATACCTGCTTTCTAGGCTTAGCCTGTCACAGTACAAACAGTACTGTTGAGTTCATCGCCTGAATCATCCTGCTAATTGGAAAAATGCAGAAGCGCATCCTACTCCTTCAATTACTCACATACTACTTAAATGGCCACACACTCATATTCACTAATGCGAAGAGAGCTTTGTTTATGGTGACTTATTTGTTACTCACCTAATTATATGAAGGTGGAATAAGCCAAGACCTTCATTCAATAGTGTCAACAAGGAGCTCACGCAAGAAACAGCGTACAGAACCAACAGTATCCTTAAGTTCCTTTACGAGCTACCTAAGAAAGCAAGGGCAGAGATGTGCACCAAACTGTGCATCACATGCAGGTGGTTGCACCAAGCTGCCCAGTAAAGTGTGCTCCTTGTTCTTTGGAGGAATGGCCAGAGAGAAGCACTCCCCAAGCTCAGAGACAATCAGATCAGAATAACAAGCTGTTGTACCAAATCAGAGCAGTTATTTCTGGCCTTTCAGTTTGTTAACAACCAAGACCACAAGCAACCATTTAGGACTAGAAATGGCAAAAATCAACACTTAATTTAAAAAAAAAAAATATTCCTGCGATGTGAACAAAGCTACTAATGTAACATGTATCACTAAGCATAAGACTCTATTAAACACTTACCAAGGCAAGACTTCTGCACCTAGCTTGGCTGCCACAACTTTCCACACTGCCACCCCCTTCCATGCTCCCAAGTGCGTGCTTTGGAGAGATTTCGGATGCCATTTCAGGAGAATCCGAGAGGAGGTTTCTAGGCATCACACCCTCTTGACTTATCGATCCCGATGCAGCGAGGAATGCCATCAGCGTATTACGTAGGGCAGCTAGCTTTATTCATTTCTGAAAACAGAGAACAACATGTTATATTTAAATCTGTTTTTTAAAATACTTCAAAAGGAGTGGAAAATAAATAGTAAAAAAGATCCCACACAAGTTAATAACAGGCATATCTTTTTGCTCTAGAACACATCTACCACCTATGGGCACCTTTTAAAAAAGCTAGTCATATTCTAAAAGGCGACTTTAAAAATCCAACATAGCAAGGTTCTGTATCCCATCTTGTGTGCTTCCAGACCAGATGTCTACATTTACAAGCAAGGACCTTGCATACATACCTGTCCTACAGATTGTTTGTGTTTTCCATTATGACACATCATTAACAGTAATAAAATCCCATCAGCTGAGATACCGACTGACCCAGTTTAAACATCTTCATCTTTTAGGAGCTTTTAGACAAGAATTCTATTTGTCTTAGAGAATCCAGTTAGTTTCCTAACACCGCTGCAGTTAACTCGTGTGTTACTGAAGCAGCTCTTATGCCAACTACTTCTGGTGAAAGATCCATGAACAAAACTTAATGCCATTTTTGCACCATTGTGTTACATAGCAAAATTGCATTTTAAAGCTTACAGAGCTTTTATTTCACTCAGCCATGAAGAAACAGTGCTTGTACATTTGGAAGATGCTTACTAGAGCAAAAGTCCCCATTTTTTTAAGCTATCCTAGTGCTCAGTTCTGTAATACCTCTCTGAATTGTCATCATCTCCCAAAACACTCCAGCAGAATTTCTTCCTTCATTCTCAAAGTACCACAAAGACAAAAGTCATCCTTTTGCACTAACAGCACAAACAGGGGGACGAGAAAAAAGTAGAACCTAGCTCATTGTCCTGGTTTTGGCTGGGATAGAGTTAGTTTTCTTTCTAGTAGCTGGCATAGAGCTGTGTTTTGGATTTAGTAGGAGAAGAATGTTGATAACACGCTGATGGTTTAGTTGTTGCTGAGTACTTCTTATGCTAGTCAAGGACTTTTCAGCTTCCCATGCTCTGCCAGGTGCACAAGAAACTGGGAGGGGGCACAGCCAGAAGAGTTGATCCCAACTGACCAAAGGGCTATTCCATACCATATGGCGTCATGCTCAGTATATAAACTGGGGGGGTTGGCCGGGGAGCAGCGATCGCTGCTCGGGAACTGTCTGGGTATTTGTGGGCGGGTGGTGAGCAATTGCATTGTGCATCACTTGCTTTGTGTATTATTATTATCATTATTGTATTGTTACTATTATCATTACTATTTTACTTTATTTCAATTATTAAACTGTTCTTACCTCAACCCAGGAGTGTTTCTCACTCTTACTCCTCCGATTCTCTCCCCCATCCCATCCAGGCAGGGGGAGTGAGCGAGCAGCTGTGTGGTGCTTAGTTGCTGGCTGGGGCTAAACCACGACACTCATCTCTCCCTCCAATGCATTAAAACATCCTTCACAACAAGAAATTGCCACCTTCTTTAACAGCCCATCCTTTCACCCACCCTGCCTGTGACCAGGAAACAGCAGCGACGCATTCCTCAAAACAGTTGGTTCTGAGGTACCACGTTATATGCAACCAGCTGGGAACTGGACACCATTACCCTGACACTGTACAAATGAAATGAGATGGTCCTGCTTCCCAAGTGCTTCTCCCTTTATTAAGGTTCGAGAGGCGACATGAGAAGCAAAGTCAGGTCTGCATTTCCAATTCAATTGGATTACGTCTCCTTCCTCCCTACCCCTGTCAGCTGAGGGCTGAGAAACCAGAGCCTCCTGGTAAGGTGATTAGCGTTTCATAGCAGTGAGATAATATCTGCCAATACTGAGCAACAATTCCATCCTGCTGATCGCTTCCTCCCAGGAGAGGGCTATGACATTACCAGAGGTACCTACGAACGCTCCCTGTCTATGCTGTAGCCCCAACATGCGTCCTGTGGGAAGGCTCCCACACAATGTCGCTAGGCTGCCGTCCAGCAAGTCTTGGAAGCACAACCCACATAAACAGAGTACTGGATTGCCACAATAAAAGCATCCGATAGCCTTTCTTAAGAACATTACGTCTAACGATTAAGATTTACCCTTGCTTTTTACATGAAAAGAGCATTCTTCCTTTCTTCTATTTATAACATTAGCTATAAAGATGCATCCTCAGGATAATGGTCTTTAAGTGATGCCACAGAGGTAGAAACATGCTCTTGGTCCTGGTTTTCAGAATCACAAGACAGGCAGACATGGGAGCACTGCAGCAGCTGCTGTACCTCTGACTGCCACATACCCAGGCTCTAACCAAAAAGCTACGCTGCAGAAAGCTAAACTGGTAAAGAGCTGCCTGAGTCTAGAACATATCCTGCAACAGCAGCTCCATCTACAACAAACCCTGCAGCACTGAACAGCCACACACAAACGAAAATATATATAATTTTTAGAAGGCAACATTATCAGTGAAAATCTTGGCTTCTCTGTGAAGTGCTACACACAAGCAAACACACACACAAAAGTATCTATCATTTTTAGAAGGCAAGACTGTCAGAGAAATTCCTGACCACTCTGAAATTCACAGAAACCTCCCACTGACTTCTGATTTCTTCACATGACTTTCAAGGTGATGTTCAGATGGAAGAGTGTTTTTCTAAGGAGCGACCAGCAAGAGGTGAGTACTGCTACTGACATCCAACATAAGGTATTATTTCTTATCACCACTTTTAAGCTGCAGCATCCATTTTTATCCAAGTCTCTTCAGTATAAGCTGGACATGCTCATGATGTATTATAGACAACTACTAGATTTCTAGAATTATTCCCAAAACTGTTTGTAAACATTTTATAGACTACATTATGAGAGGTCATAGCTCCAGACTACCATAGATATCATAGACAAGACCCACATTTAAAGACTAATCAAATGAAGGTATTAATCCAAGTTACCAAGAAACCAATTAAAGGGCCAAAACTTTGAGGGAGAAGAAAATATTTAAGAGTACTGTTCTGCTTTCTCCAGCAGCAAAACCTTAGCATAACCAGGTCTAAGCTTCATAGTGGGCTACCTGCATCCAGAACAGCAGGAACACCCAAATTCAGTAGTAATAAATATTAAAGCCACAAGTTCTAAACAACAACAAATAACTCTGCTTCCAGTAAGCTCCTATTACTCATTTTGGAGCTCAAGCTCAGATGTTTCACAAAGCTCCTGAACAATGAAGAAAGGCAATGACTGCAACTGGTTAAGAGAGCCACCCACACAAGATCAAGCAGCAAGCATCACGGCACTGGTTCTCCCTTTCTGTTGTAAGCCATGGCTTCTTTGGAAGTTTTACTCATTTCAGAAAAGCTCAGGAGCTGTGCAATAGCCTGCAGAAAAGGGAGTGGGTGAAGATCTTTTTCCCTTCTATCTTTCACATGATCTTTAACACTTCTGGGTTATGATCTTACTAATGTGTACCCTTTTCATATACATTATTTCTCCTCCCCTTTGCTGTGTTTTTTATACTTTAAGGGAAAAATTCCTACATATTTGCACAGTGCCTAGTGCAGTTACAGGTGATGTGAGGTTGCCTGGCACTGCTGCAATACATACAGCACGCTTTACGGACAAATTCCCCTCCTAGCCATGGCTAACACAGAAGTCCCTTCACTCTTTTTGTGTCCCCTCTATTAAGTGAAAGACTTTGTGGATTTAATATAGAAATAGCCAAGAATCTAACGAATTTCAGGAAGACCCCACTGCCTGTTTCAGTAGGATTGCCTAGGTAACAAGCAAGGGTTCAAAACTAGGTAACCATCCGCAGAGAGAGCAAGAACAGCAGGACGACAGGCGGCTGTTCCTCCTGACCTTCAGAGATGCATTAAATATGAAAGTTGCTCACAACAGGATTTGTTGCTTGGTCTATTCAATGCATTGTAGTGTTGTGGGGTTTTTTTTTTTTTCTTTGCTTGGTTTCAGAGATGTGTGCCTGTACCATTAGGGATTAATAAAAAAAAAAAAAAATCAGACCATCATACAAGAGTGCAGAAGTGTGACAGGAGCAGTACTATTTGGAGAGAAGATCCCAAATATTAAACCAAAATGGCACTTTAGGGCAGCTGTGATTCTATCAGCTGAAATGATCACTTCTTGGCTACACTAGAGCTAGCCTTCATGAGACATTCAAAACAACACAATTCACATATCATGCATGTTTGTCAGAGGGCAGTAGGAAGGAATTGAAATATTCTGAAGTTAACATTGAATTTTACCTCCAAAGATTTAATTTTGCTTTGAAAGAGGCACATAATTCAGAGGGACTGTATTAAGTTGCCATCAAAGATAAGGTGCAGTCTGTCTTTTTTAAAAAGGATATTTTTATAGTTTTGCTGACTAAGATTACTTCTCCACTAAAGTTCAATGTTAACATTTACAAGGGACCATTTCTGTAGTAGCAGGAGATTGAAAAAAATTTTTATTAATAATTCTGTTTGAAGACTGGCTTAATAGGCAAAAGATCAATCCCACAAAAATGAAAGACATTTAGAGGCTAAAAGTCAACCGCTACATAAAGAAGAAGCTGAAAGTCAGCAAACAGACAGCATCATCCCATTTACTGCACGATATATTTCAGGTAAGTAGACTTGACAATTTTTAGAAAGTTATCATACATTTTTAAAAGGGCACAATATCAGTCGCTCCCTCCCTTCACTATACATAAAATTTCTAGAACACTCTTTGCATGAACCGTTTCTTAAGCTAGATTTGTAAGCCTAGACTGTGCTCTGAGCATCACACACACTTTGCCTGTTCTGTAACAGCTATTACAGAATTACTCACTGGCCAGTGAACTTCAAGGTTTGTTTAATCTGTCAGCTGTATACAGACACACCAACGCACACACTCAGCTCTGCGTGGTCTTGCACTCCATGGTGGTGCCTGAGTTTGGAGAGTTAAGCATCTGGAAAAAAAATCTGACTGTACTCTGAGGTCA